ATAATGAATACATTGCAATAGTCTTCATCACTAGACCTCAATCCATCATTAATAATAAGTCTTGCCCATCGAAATCCACTTATAAAACAGTTGATTAAGGGAGACCATATCACATACATCAGATTAACTCAATGCTCATTCTGAAAATTCGAATTAGTACAAAGCCCAATATTAAAAGCACAAGTACCCAAAACTTAGCCCAAGTTTCTTGTATGATATTTCATCACCATGTCACTAAAAGAGACAAACAATTATTGTATTTCAAACAACTTTTCACAGACTCGAGAAAGTGTTATAATTTTCTCAAAAAACCCTTCCCTTAACCCCAAAAAAATCATTTCAAAATTTTCAAAATCTGATTTCAGATTCGGATTCTCCGACCCCAATTTACTTTCGTCAACCTTTATAAAATATCAACATTTTCTCAAAAAACCCTTCCCTTAACCCAAAAACCTCATTTCAAAATTTTTAAATTCTGACTTCAGATTCGGATTCCTCGACCCCGATTTACTTTTGTCAACCTTAATAGAAAATTTTCTAAAGTGGAAGTTTTTTTTGACCCTGATGTTTTTTTGACCCGATGCAAACACACAAACACACACACAAACTATTTTTTTTCATATGACCCTCCTTACAGTCGAGGGAATAAAAATTGGCGGAATAAATTACACCAATCTTAGATATGCAGATGATACAGTTCTGATAGGAGACTCAGAACCAGCACTACAAGAATTGATTCATGAAATAAACGAAAGAGGACAAAAACTGGGTCTAAATATAAACATCCAAAAAACAAAATGTATGAGAATCTCAAAAATGGAAAGTAAAAAGACGCCAAATATAACCATCAACAAAGAAAATATAGAACAGGTTAAATCCTTTGTATATCTTGGCCACCTAATCATGGAAGATGGCAAACGTATACAAGAAATAAAAAGAAGATTGAACTAGCTAGGAAAACTTTTGTTAAAATGAAAAATATTATATTTTCAAGAAAACTAGATATAGAAACAAGAAAAAGACTAATTAAATGCTATGTGTGGTCGACAATGCTTTACGGCGCGGAGACATGGACTCTAAATAAAGAAGCCGAGAAAAAGAGAGAGGCATTCGAAATGTGGGTATTTCGAAGAACCTAAAAATCCCATGGACAGCAAAAATGAAGAACGAAGGGGTTCTAAAATTGATGGATTCCAAGAGATCTCTTCTGAATATTATTAAATACAGAAAGACTGTTTATTTAGGCCATGTCGTAAGACATCAATCTTCGCAAAAAATGTTCTTAGAAGGTAAAATAGAGAGGCGAAAAGGAAGAGGAAGACCAGGAAAAACTTGGTATAAGAACATAGAAGAATGGACTGGCATGAAATATCAAGATGGCTCAAGAACAGCCCAAAACAGAAGATCCTTCAAATCCATTGCAGCCAACCTCCTGGAGGGAGAAGGCACATAAAGAAGAAGATTATTACAAATATTAAATATAGATATGGATAAAAATCATTCAATGATTCGTTTATTTAATGATGAAGACATACTAACATTTACTCGACATCTTACTCAACTGATAAATAAATTAAATTATTTCAAACTTCAGAATGAACAATGGTCCTATTATTATCATCTTGGTATAACAGAAGGTCTTTGGACTGGACGAATTTCGATGAAAATGGCTTTAAATAATTCAATGCATTATACTTACGGCAGATCAAAAAATTTAATTGAACAACGTCGAAAAAAATATGAAAAACAATTGGAATTTATTCGAAATGAAGCTGAAAAATATATCAAACAACCACGTAATATTACTGCTCAGATTGATATGAATAATATGATGACCATCATTACTTATCTTATACATAAGGATCAATATCAATTAAGTATAGAATTAGAAAGACGTCGAGGTACGCTTAAATTTGATGCCAAAGATCATCAATTGGTTCAAGCATTTTATCAGTTGAAACCAAGAAAAACTGAGGTATAGTAGATAAACAATTTCTCGATGGATCGATATTTAACGCATACTTGAATATCTTTAGATTCATTCAGCTAAAATGATATGGAAAACAATTCATGAAGAACAAAAACTACAATACGAAATTGCTATGTTCAAAGAGTGGTTGTCATTAAAAACAACATTAACAAATTGTACTTTACAAGATCTAGCATTGATCAAAATTAACGAAATATTTACACAATTAGTTTTTAATAAACAATTACAACCAACAAATCATCTATCGATGAATGATCATAATAATCAAATAAACAGTCCAAATCAATATATACATGACTTATCAGCAGACACTTTATCTAAAGCTGAGAAATTAGCTCAAAATTATACTCAAAAAGTTATCGATGAGAAAACAAAATTATTGAACGACTTTCAATGGCTTGAGTAGTTTTGTTAAGATCGAGATTATTCTTACTATTGTCTTTGCGTTTCA